TAGGGAAAAACAGGGATTAAAACAGACCTTTTGTTTAACCAAAAGGTTAAACATTTCACCCAGTAGTTCATGGATGGCTGGGGTAGAGTGGGAATTCCCCTGATTATTGAGATATCGTTTGTCCCTGATAGAGCTGGGATTAAAAAGAGGAGCATTTTTTTTCACTCTATGGACTTAAATTTCATCCATACATAAATACGGTTGAAGACTTAGAGGAAAAACACAAAATCACTTGAGATTTTTTGGCTCAGTCCAGTGCCCCCCTCCTTCCGTGATTTATTTATAGCTCTTAATTTTCAGACTTCACAAGAAATTGCATCTCAGGATTTTTATTAAACCATACACATCCCAGGTTTGTGCTCCTTGTTCACTTTGATATTACTACACCCAGCCAGTGCAGTGACAGCCTTTCATTTACTTTGCTATGGCGATCGTACTTCTTTAACCCCATACCTCCAGTGCTGTTGAGAACCGCTCCGCTGCTGCTGCGTAGTTCTTCTGCCTGTAGCAAGCGCTGGCTTCCCGGAGGGTCATCTGAAGCTGTTTGTTAATCTGGGGCAAAGCGCTGCCATTAAGTGCGCTCAGAGCCTTTGCTTTTTCAGAATCCCGGCAGGCTGATTGTGTGCTTGTAGGCACCACAGGCCCAGCAAACTCGAAGGGAATGTCCTCCTCATCAGTGTAGACCAACTCCATTTCTATGTCCGTTAGGCTTTTCAGAGGAATATGAGACAGAGGTGTCGGGATTAACTGATTGCCAGTCTCTAATGTTGTTTCTTCTTGTGTCACAGCTAGTTTTTCATTGTTTTCTGATTTCCGTTTACGGCTTGTTCTGTCTACATCATTACTTTGTTTGTCCTTCTTTTTCTCTGCCATTTTTATTCTCTCCATTATATTTTCGGCTGCTCCGTCCCCACTGACCTCTTGCAATGCTTCTGGAACATCATTCGATTTGTTTGCTGCTGCATTTGACTCCTTACTACTACGCATTTGCTGAGAGGTTTCATTCTTGCCATCCATGCTTATGAGAATTTGTTGGAAGTCAGCGTTGCTTTCTGATGTCATAACTTGAGTAAAGAAAGAGTCCTAGGAGAAAATGTGGAAAAGTTAAGAATACTCAAACATTGCAAAGCCAAAAAAACCCCATGCAAATGTTTTCTCTACTAGACGTATTGTAGGCACCAATGAGAGAAAACTCTTCAATAGTGAGTACACAGAATATCAGACTCGCTGTAATTACTTTCTCTTTCCTGTGTAAAAGTTTAAAGCATCTTAAATATTTTTGATAGCTCTCAATAACGGATGTTTGTTTATGTAAAGTAATGCCAGTGTATCAGTTTGTAATATCTGCAACAAGAAGGGGAAAATCTGGCTTTTAATCAAAAGATAAACAACTAAAACCCTGTGACTGATTGACTTGCGTTGTATGTTGTTATGGGGTGCCAAAAATCACTGTGGTCTGATTTTTGAGAGCTGGTAAGCACAGTGACTGAGGTCAGAGACGGGTGTTCGAAAATCAGGCAGAGTGGATGTATTCCAGAGGGGCACCAGCTCCAAGTGGGGTCCCAGCTTCAGCTGCATTTGAGCAAAATTCAGATCCGGATTTAGGTTTCAAAACCGTTTCTTACTGAACTGTCTCCAAAGGACATGAGCATTGGTACTAAGAAGCAACCCTCCCCCTTAACAGCCTAATTCTCTGTTCAGGGAATCGCTAGTGGATTTAAACTGGTACAAGGTGCAGAATCAAGTTCATAAGCCTCCCCTCAGCACCAGTTCCTGTACAATAGGAAAGGTGGCTTGATCTGCATTGTAAACTGATAATTGTGCTCAGATTCAAAGGAAATGTTGGTTTTCATCTGCCCCTGCTGACTTCAGAGTGAAAAGGTGGAAGGCGCAGGTAATTTTCTTTTCAGTTTTTCCATCAATGGTGAAAAGTCTAATTGTAAATAGCTTTAATTATGACCGTCTTTCAGAATGGTTTGTTAAGCATAAGCACTCAGCCCTTAACCTTGTGTTATTGTTTAACAGACCTCCCTATGTTTAGCACCAGTTTAATGTACTTAACTACAGGTACAGATTGTACAAAGGAAAGATCCGTACTAAATGCATTTCTGTTTGGCCAGAAACAGATTTTAAACAATAAGCAACTTGTTGAGTTTTAGTGAGGGCCCTACAGTACGCACTGCTGCACTCCTACAAGCTGCAGGAATGTGTCCTGGCTGCTGTGGTACGGTCAACCTTTAGGGCAATGAGCGTTAGGCAATGATAGAATTTATAGAAATAGGCAATTTATAGAAAGGAGTAAAGGGAGGAGGCGAAGGACATTTCAGGCCAGATGAGAAGCTGATACTGAATTTTAATGTAAACAGGGTTTCAAATATTTGTCATGTTTTCCCCCCCCTTCCCCTGGCTAAGCCAGGTTGCAGCCGGGACTGTCACCAGCCCTGAGGCAGGGAACTCGTTGATTTTGACAGTTGTTCACAACCTCCAGGCTGAAAACTTTACTGTAGCAGAACTGCCTGTGGAGAAACTTATTCCTCCTTCCACGACTGCAAGAGAAGGAGCGAGAGGTGACGGGATAATTGTGTGATTTAAGGTAATTTCGGCAGACTTTTTTCAGCAATGTGCTGAGCAATCACAACTCCTACTGAGTTCAATGGGGATGGAAAACCACTGGCCCTTCCCAGACAGTGCTCCGCACTTGTCAGAATAGTGCTCAAAGGAATCATATTTATAGCAAGCTATTTTGAATGGCAGCAGTAAAGCAGCTGGAAGAGGCTAATGTACTTGCAACTGGCAGCAATTTTACCTGTTTTTAAGACATTCAATCCCTTTTTAAAACAAACCATAGCATAGCCTAAAGATTGGAAGCCCTGTTTTTCAGTACTGGCTTCAGCACTAGGTAATTTAGGAAATTATGATTTATCTTCACTGTGCAGTGGAGCAGAGATACTCCAGCCAGCCCCAGCACCAGCTGAGGGGATGAGCTGGACAATCTTGGTGCCATGTCATGCCAACATAACTGTCACATAGGGGACCTGTGCTGGACCTCGGTGTGGCCCCGCAGTGTATGGTTATCCCAGGTTCTGGAGGGGCAACACAAGATTTTCACAGCCTCTTGGGTGGGCTGTTCAACTGAAGGTCCTATAGAACTCTAGAACACGAGATTTAAGTGTCTACATCAGATACAAGTTTACAGGAATTTTCCTCTGAGCAGCCATATAGTACTGAGGAGCCCTCAAGGAAAATTAATGGACTCTTCTCCTCACCAGAAAGCTTACAAAGGCAAAGCCCTATATCTGATGGGGAGTTGATATCGGCGTGAATGGGAAATTGGCTGGACCAAACTGTTCGCGGTGAGACTGTCTTAAGAAGTCTAAAGTAATTTATCATGAAATAAAAAAAAGCAGAGCACAAACTGTGAAATACAGACCAATAATCTTTAATCACTTACAGACATTTTTCTGGTGGACCAGCACCTGAAATGAACTTTGCTGTATCAAATGGATTTATACTGCTTCTATTGTATTTTTAGGTATTCAAGCTGATTAACATGACTTTGGGTTGTGCAATGGAAGCACATTATAACTCAGGCAGGCTCACTTTAATCACTGCCTCAATAAAAAAACACTTCCAGGGAAAAGCTTTTAGAAAATCATTATCTTTGTCAGTTAAGTATTTTCCTGAGACTTTGGTTAAAATGTCTGTTTTTTATTTTGGAAGCGTTTACTGTAAAATGCTTCTAATGAATCACTATGCAGGGGAATACAGGTAGACAATTTAGCGCTATAGTCAGAAGGAAACTACTCTAAATTCGTGAGCTCTCAGGAATGATCTTCTTGATCAGTCATAAGCAAGTTCAGCTTTCTGCATATCTGAGGGTTAACCTTTGCCAAGAGACCTCTGTCCGTGGCACTGCCAGCCACCACAGCTAAGTATTTTGTTGGGTCTATCGGTAAGGAAACCACATCTCTTCAAATGGAGAGGCTTACATGAAAAAAATATAAATGCAAAAGGAACATAAAATCATTTATCTTTTAAAATCTTCTGGTTTTCTCTGTTGATTTCCCACTATATCTAAGAAAACCTTCTTGGGGAGAGTGGCCTGCCTACTAGATAACGTAAACTTCCTTATGTGCATGATCTTATGAACCGTATTACTTATGCTTTTTGTTCTGTATCTAGTTTGATTCTGCTTTCAACACCTTCTCCTATTATCTCACATCAGATTAGAGAAGAACCTGCTGATAAATCACACTGGCACTTCAGCTGGCACCTAGTTGTTAAATTCTTTGCCAATTCTTTGATGAGCCCTTTTTTCTTCAGAGTTTAAACTTTGATTTCAACCAAAAAAGCTTTTGCCCTTACAGTTGTGAAGTAAAACCTTTCTAAACACCAAAGACTGCAGTGCTATCTTCGTGAATCTGCATGTAGCGAGGCAGAACCACTGGGCTACATTCAGCATTGATTTAAGTGGAGGGACAGGAGAGAGGAATTTCTTCTAGTAGTTCTCAGAGGGGATTAAGCTGCCTTGAAACTGAACCATTACATTGCTGTTACCAGCTCTTTGGGACATGAATTGTGCGGGGCTGCGCTTTAGAAAAAGGTCTGTTTCCCAGTTTCGGTAAAATCTTTCAGTAGGCGGCACAAGTCGCTGTTTCTGAGGATCACAGTTGCCTTTTACGGCAGAGGCTGTGGAGAAAGAAGCAAACTCAAGGAGAGAGTCCCCAGGGCTGGCCTGCTGGACCATACACTTTCATGGTTCGGAGGTCTAGGGGGACGGTACGGCAGCGAGGAAGCAGAAAGGGGACTCGATGATTACATTTCTTACTCTGAACCAGGTTCCTTACACTGACCGTCCGACAGCAGTCCAAGTGGACCCGTGCTCTGACATTGAACGTGCCCCACGAAAGCCTTGCTAAAACTCAGAGACAAATTAGGCATCAGATCTGGAAACAGCAATAGTTCTCCCTCCCCAACCCTGATCAGAACTGGCAGAGATTTCTGTTGTCACTGTTTTGTTTTATTTTCACTTCCTCTGCAGCATAAGGTACAAGCTGCCTCGTTCAGGATGGTCTGGTTGTACCTCATCTGCTGTCCCAGAAGCTGTAGTCATTAGCGGTCCATCTGTATTTTGTGCTCTCTGCTGTGAATGTTCGATCCCGCTCAGTTTCTGGAGGATAACATCACAACATTTTTCAGCCAGAGCATGACTGTATCGGCAGCACACATGCATTTTGTGCAGAGATACCCCATCTGTCTTTCAGTGAGCTCACTTGTGTACCGGCAACCGTATAGCTGTGTTAGCCTGATACCCCCCCCAGGCTAACTCACCCTGCTAGCAGATACATATAATGACAACTGCTGTATTAATATACTACTTGGAGAGTGATGGGACTTTTCCAGAAAGTTATAGGAACCGAACTCTTTCATCTATAATAGTCTTTTTCTCCCAGAAGGCCATTTGAAATCACAGGGCAGTCATCTGCTACAGTTCATTTCAGTGCAAATGTTGGAACAGGCGAAACTGCATCCAAAACTATGGAGCAAGTATAAGAAAATTATACCACTGGTACTTGTACAAGTGTTATCCCACTTTGTCAATGTCCTCTAGTACAGACAGAGAAATATAGTACTGTAACAAAACACATCCAAAGCCCCACAACAGATAGGTCATTAGCTGCCCTCCTCTATAATAATTTCTCTTATATTGAATTCCAGATATCCTGATCCATCTCTAAGGTGAGGATGCTCCAGTTTTATCACTTAAAAATGAAGCAAGATTTATCTGTATTAGATTTACAGACAGACTTTCTGAATGAGCATGTGCACCGACAACAGCTATGCTGAGATCTGAAGTGGAGATTTTTCCAGTCCATCTTTCAGCGGGATGACTTTTTAAGCACTTCCTTTACTGCTGAATACCACAAAGGCTCAGACAATCTATTGATGACGAAGGTCAGCACCTTCTTAGCAGCCCATAAAGTGAGTCTCTCACAATCAGGTTTCAGACTTTTTAAGATTCTCGCCATTTCTTTAGGCAATGAAGCAACCTAGTTCTTTCATCTTGCTATTTTTATTGTTTGAAAGCCTGAGTCACATCTGATCTTTTTTATTTTTAGTTTTCTTTTGGGGAAAAAAAACCCCTTAATGTATCTTTTTTTGTTCAGTACTCTTATTTCTTTGTGATAGACATAAGTAATGGCTCATTCAGTGCAAAATCAGAACTCCTTACATTTTCCTCGCTGTGATAAGGGCACACTTGCCATTATTACAGCTGCATTGTCCACATTGCTGCAGTAAAGGTTTTGTCAGCACTTCCACCCTAAACACTCTTTTCACTCACTGTATTTAACCCATTTATAAAAATAATAATAATAAATTGGGCTCTGGGCTGAAATTTGGCAAGGTTAATCATGTTTTTTTCATAGTAGTTTTGCAGGGATTTAACCATATTATCCTAATTGCTCTTTGAGGCTGAAACTCACATATTAATTGTTTATGTGGTGCTGAGTACAACAAAGCACTAATCTCATTAGGCTATAGACATAAGAGAAATACTAAACGGTATTAATAATTACTGTTCACAGCTATCAGATAGCTAGTTCACTAGGCACTGTTACGCAAAGACAGCAAGCTTAGGCTTACTGTTATTTAAAGTAACACAACTCCAATTCCTTCTATCACTCACAATAGCTTATGGAAGTGAACCAAAGTTGAAGGTAAATATGAGAGAAACAGAATGTAAGAAACAAATCCTGGTTAAAATACTTAATGTGTCGTTAAGGATAACGTGCAAAAACAAATAGGAAGTACAATTAAAATAATCAAGAGAAGTTTTCACAAAGTATGTTAATCATGTGGCTGTCATTGCCTCCTTGGACAGTGCTTAAATGCAGAAAGGGAAGGGTGGCGTGAAGATCACTCTCGTGTGTCCAGGAATCCAGGAGTCTTCTATGAAATAGTTGGGCACTGATTGGGCAAAAAGGGAAAACAGATAAATCCCTATTCCTGCCAACTTTGATAGTCTTCAATAGTAATGGGATCTGCTTCCTCTCCCTCCTGAATCTTTTCCCTTCTTCACTCTATGTTTTGTCTGTCTTATCTTTCGTGCTTGCCTTTCTCGCAGGAGGGATATAGACAGCCATGGTCCTGTAGAGCTAGCTTGAGTGATTTAAGAGGCTGCTTCTCCCAGCTGGTGAATACTACCCTTCTCTTTTACTGCTGCAGCTCCTAGTGCATTTCTGGGCAAATTAAACCAGCTTAGGGTAAACAGATTCACAGAAGTACCTGGGAGCTGAGCGAATCCCTTTCATTAGGCACCGAAGCAGGCTGGAAATATATACCATGAGCTGGGAGTACCCAATATGTCAGCCACAGGAGAGGGGAGAAGGAGAGGGGGATAGGCAGAACTGGGATATTTCTGCTCTTTCTGTCTTCTCCAGGGAAAGCCCATCATATATATTTATTTGGTTTGTTGGCTTAGCCAAGACTGCATGCTTTGGCACATGGCTGCCAATCTATAACCAGCATTAAGGCAATTTTTTCAAGCTTTAAGGCAGCATCTTAAAAGGTTATAGTACTTACTGAAATGGGTGAGCCAACCTCACAAGACAGCTAAAACAAAGCTCTTTAAGATTTTCCATTTCTTTGGGGCTTCCCCTCCATGTATTCTTTAAAGTATTATTTTAAAACTTTATATTATTAAGTATCACAGAAAAAGTTAACTGCTAACAATTTAACACAAAATTAGGCACCTCAGTTAACTATTTATTGCTGTAGAGATGCACAAGGATCTTATTAACAAGTTGTTTGAATAAAATTAGAGCTGTAAAAGGACAGTAGGCTAACAACTACAATTATAATTAAAAATCAAGAAGGAACCGGAATCTCCCCGGCAGCATATCCTAGGACAGTGAGGCAAAGCAAATATAGAAAAGAAGCATCAGTGATCACAACCTGGAAGAAGGAAAAGGAAGATTCAGTACATAATGAGGGCTCAGGATATGTCGTTGGTAACTAGTGTGACTAAGGAAAAATGGAGAGAGAGAGATTGAGGATGTTTTCTGCATATGTTTTTTAGGCACTGTGTAACTGTCTGCCTTCCACTCCCTCCTAGTGAAATACTTCCTCTAAAAGTGTGGGAGAAAAATACCGAGAGACAAAAGAGACAGCAGGGAAAGCATTTCAGCTCTGCGTAATGATGTCATCCTATTAGCACAAAGCCCCGCATTGTCAATTAGGAAAAAAAGGTCAACGCTGTGTCTGACGGGGCTGTGAAGCCTGGCTAGCCTTCCTC